GACTGGCAGCACGCTTACCCAGAGCTGCTGTTATTTACTGTGAGCCCCCACTGGCAGTTTGGGGTCATGCTGGGGACTCTGGGCGGCTGGGAGTGCTTATTCCTGAAAAGCTTTGTCCCTAAAGCCATAATCTGGAGCGCTCAAAGCTGTGGGTGTCCAGCCCTCTTCATTTTAATAGGGCTTGGCCTCGCAGATCCCTTGGAAAACCTCAGCCCCAGCGAACAAAAGCCTGGAGTGATGAATGTAAATCTGTCATGTGGGATTCTGGGAGGAGAGATAAAAATTATCTGAGGAGCAGGGAAGCTGAGTTACGAGGAGCTGTGTGTGCAGCAGAGCCCGGCTGATAGCACAGGGGATGCAATAGCTGGGCATGGAAAGGAACAACAGCTCTAGTTTTTAACTGGGAGGAGCTGGCTGGGGGAGCAACACCACAGATGTTTAAAGCCTGGGAGCAGTCTTTGGGGGGAATGGCATCACAAGAGGGGTTTTGGGTCCCAGTGTGAGCGTGGGCTCAGGGGAGACAACCAGCTTCCCTCTGCCCTTGTGTCCGGACAGGTAGAAAATGTTCCCGGGCTCATGTCAGGCTCTGTGTCCTTCTATCCCTCTTCACTCCTCTTCCTGGCTCTTGCAGCTATCAGGTACTTCATCCCCAGCTTCGGGGGCAAGTCCTACCTGGCCTTCAAGATGATGAAGGCGTACCACACGGTGCGCATCGCCATGGAGTTCCGCACCCTGGAGCTGGGGGGGCTGCTGCTCTACAACGGCCAGAACCGCGGCAAGGACTTCATCTCCCTGGCCCTGGTGGGCGGCTTCGTGGAGCTCAGGTGGGTGCCCTCCCACCTCCACCTGATGGGGAGGAAGAGGAGCTGCTCCAGCCAGAATGGTCCTGGCGGGACGTCAGGAGGATGCTGGGCTTGGAGTCGCATTCTGAGAGACCCAGAATCAAACAGATGAGGAGAGGAGAAGGCTTTGGGGTTGTTTTTTGGATGCGATGGGGAGCTCATTTCCCTCTGGCACTTTTCAGCAAAGTTAATTCTCTGATGTCACTTTGCATTTTGAAAAGCTGGAAGGTG